TACTGTGCTTTTAATTTTTAAAAAATGTCAAAACATTGTTAGAATTATTGTGAAAATTCCGGTGAATTTTTTTTTATATTAACAAGCTCAGACTGTTTGATAAAACGGTATATCTTAACAGTAAATACGAGCAATTACTAAAAATAAAAAATATGTTTATTTCTTTAAGTTCTACAGTCTCACTAAGTATAGACAGCTATTTACAATGAAAAAAATATTTTGTGGCATAATTAATGGCATAAGACCATTTTCTATTGTAGAACCAATTACCCTAAAAATAATACCGTCTGTGTGCTTTTACAGTGTTTTTTAACCCTTTAATACACATCATGAGCCACAAGTGATTGTGTTTTAATCTTCCCTATCATTGCAAAAAAATTACATTCAGATTTAGAATCTCAGGGATTCATCAGTTAACTTGGTTTGATCATCAAACATAATTTCTCCTATTAGTTAATTGCTTACTTCTCTCCTCGAACTTCCACCATTCATGTCCATCCATTTATGACCACTGTGTACCCATCTTCTGATGACTACTTCCAGAAGGATGATGCACCATATCACAAAACTGTGATCATGTCAAACTGAGTTATTAAACATCACAATGAGTTCACTAAACTCCATCAGCCTCCACATTCACCAGATCCCAAACCAAGGGCACTTTTTGGATGTGGTGGAACAGGAGATTTAAATCATGGATTTACCACTGTTCAATCTGTTTGAGTGTGATACCACCTGCTGACATTAAAATTAATTGATAAAAATGAAATACCAAAAAAATAATGAAATAAGCAAACCAAGGAGGGCGGAGGGGGTCCAGGAAGGAGGGACCGAAACAAAAACAGAAAACAAGGAGCATGAGTCCAGAGTAGTTCATAAACACAAGAAAAACAGTGCAACACAAACACTGAAGGTCAGGGAAACAGGTCAAAAACCAAAAAACACTGGAGACCTAGAAACAGTCCAAGAAACCAAAAGTCCAGGAATACAGAAATGACCCAAACAAAACCAGAGCGGATCTCAACACGAGTCCACGAAAAAGTTCAGGGGGTCGACCATGTAGACGGCAACGGTCATGACGGGGAAACAGTTCTGGGGGCCGACTGTGCACGCAGCAATGGCGGCGCAGACAAAACAAATCAGGTGGCCAGCCATGCGGGTGGCAGTGGCGGCAACGAGGCGGAACGGGTCGAGCTGGCTCTGACGGCGGTGTGGCAACCGCAGGACCAGACGAAGACGAGGCAGGACCAGACGAAGACGGCGTCACACCTGTGCCTCCTTTTCGACTACCATCTGGGAAGATTGATAACATCATGGAGAAGCTCACGGCTCTCCAACAGGAGATTGAGAGACAAGTGTCGGACTGCTAGAACAGCTTTGAAATTCACATGAGTTGTTCGTACTAAAGTAAAAACCACCATCATTTCATGCGGCTACCACTTCAGCACCAGCTGTGGTCTCAAGGCTGGAGCCGAACAAAAACACCCTGATAACAAACAGGTCAGAAGGTTCCTTTGTAAGTGCGCATGCGCCATTAGCGTGCTGCCTGCTGTAACCCATAATTTCCTTCGGGATTAATAAAGTATTCTGATTCTGATACAGAAATAAATGCACCTTGAATTTTAAGTAAAGCTCAGTATTTGGTTTAAATTTCACAGCTATAAATATTGAAATAAATATATTTCAGATATTGATATGTTAAATTTAATGTCCATTTTAGAGTGACACTTGTCTCATGAACTGCATTAGCTAACGGTTATTTACTAGCTAATGTTAAAAAAGTCATGTTTTACGGTCCCGTAGTCTCTCGGCTTCAGATACATCACATAACAATAAAGGATCTCAGCGAAAGTAATACGTTTTTTTTTACCTTGATTTCTGTCAAACAATGCTGTATAAAATTTTTCTAGCTGCTAGTGTGATGATGACCTGAGCAGCACTTCATAGGCTATTTACTGGCCAAAGCCACATCCTTCAAAGACACGTCGACACGGATATTCCTGCACACTAAAGCCAGCTAGCCTTCAACTTGGTTATGGTGTTCCATGTATGGCCTGCCTGCCAGCTTCTTGCACTATACTGTTATGTGCTGGGTATGCTCAAACGCATCTTTGCACACTTGGGGTCATGCCTAGTGTAGTAGACGCCAGCCTCTATCAATCTTGTGCTTAGCGCTGGTTTCTGTGCCTCTGTGCTATCTTTCGATCAAGCTTTGTCTAGCCACTGGCAAGATTTCTCAGTATCAGCCACTTCTTTTATCTGCTGGTGGTACATGCTGTGCATGGGCCTGTCCTTCCATGATGGTTCCTCCTCTTCTTTCTAGTATTTCTGCTGCCTGAGATATTCACTTACCACTAAGTTGCTATAGCAGTTGGTTCTTCCAGATGTTGGAACACTGAGCTACTAGTTGTTTCGCCATTAGTGTTGAAGATTCCGTAGGTCCCACATCTTCTTCATGCAGCCTCTTCTACTGAGGTTACTTGCGTAGTAGCATTCCAACAGCACAACATCCTGATGCCTTTTCCACTTCTCTTAGGCAGCGTCATTAGAAGACATAGCATACATTTTCACTGCTATGCAGATGACACCCAGCTCTATCTGTCCATGAAGCCAGGTAACACACACCAATTAGTTAAACTGCAGGAATGTCTTAAAGACATAAAGACCTGGATGGCCGCTAACTTTCTGCTTCTTAATTCAGATAAAACTGAGGTTATTGTACTCGGCCCTGAAAAGCTTAGAAATATGGTATCTAACCAGATTCTTACTCTGGATGGCATTACCTTAGCCTCCAGTAACGCTGTGAGGAACCTTGGAGTCATTTTTGACCAGGATATGTCCTTCAACGCACATATTAAACAAATATGTAAGACTGCGTTCTTCCATTTGCGCAACATCTCTAAAGTTAGAAATATCCTGTCTCAGAGTGACGCTGAAAAACTAGTTCATGTATTTATTACTTCCAGGCTGCACTACTGTAATTCATTATTATCAGGATGTCCAAAAAACTCACTGAAAAGTCTTCAGCTAATCCAAAATGCTGCAGCAAGAGTCCTGACAGGGACTAGAAAGAGAGAGCATATTTCTCCTGTTTTGGCTTCCCTTCATTGGCTTCCTGTTAAATCCAGAATTGAATTCAAAATCCTGCTCCTCACATACAAGGTCTCAAATAATCAGGCCCCATCTTATCTTAATGACCTTGTAGTACCATATCACCCTATTAGAGCACTTCGCTCTCGCTCTGCAGGCCTACTTGTTGTTCCTAGAGTATTTAAAAGTAGAATGGGAGGGAGAGCCTTCAGTTTTCAGGCCCCTCTTCTGTGGAACCAGCTTCCAGTTTGGATTCGGGAGACAGACACTATCTCTACTTTTAAGATTAGGCTTAAAACTTTCCTTTTTGCTAAAGCATATAGTTAGGGCTGGACCAGGTGACCCTGAATCCTCCCTTAGTTATGCTGCAATAGACGTAGGCTGCCGGGGGATTCCCATGATGCATTGAGTTTTTCCTTTCCAGTCACCTTTCTCACTCACTATGTATTAATAGACCTCTCTGCATTGAATCATATCTGTTATTAACCTCTGTCTCTCTTCCACAGCAGGTCTTTTATCCTGTCTTCCTTCTTTCACCCCAACCGGTCGCAGCAGATGGCCCCGCCCCTCCCTGAGCCTGGTTCTGCCAGAGGTTTCTTCCTGTTAAAAGGGAGTTTTTCCTTCCCACTGTCGCCAAAGTGCTTGCTCATAGGGGGGTCATATGATTGTTGGGTTTTTCTCTGTACCTATGAAGCGCCTTGAGGCGACTTTTGTTGTGATTTGGCGCTATATAAATAAAATTGAATTGAATTCTCCCTTCCTCTATATCTGACGCGGACCTTGTTAAGCGACTGAGGTCTGGGATGGATTACATATAATGCACATATCCAAGGTAGGCTTGGGTAGCATGGGATGCCTAGCTTGGGGACCTTTACTGGATACACACGTCAAAGCCCCAACCTAAATTTCCAAAGGCAAACTAGGGCTGTATCCCAGTTCAGGGTCTGCAGCCTTAAAGTACGCATTTCAAGGCCGATTACGTCACAGCGGCGCGCCGAAGGCTGTCCCAATTCAAAGGCTGCTCGAAATGCGGCCCTGAAATGCGTCCTTCATTTCCCTGAATTTTAAGGCTGTGGCAGTGTAGACTTCGTGGCCCAACATATCCCAGAATGCATAGCGCGGCGGTGGGTGTGGATAATTTTGCCGAAAAAAAACGGCAGATGAGGGGCGGCCGAAGAGTAAACTTTAAGTACTGAATATTATGTCACTTATTTATGTGCAAATGTTTAATAACGAAGAACATTAAAACATTACTGTTGGCCACATGTCGGCAAAGTTATGTGACATTAGTGACGTTTGTACTAACTTGGTTTTAAAGCCTTTACTTTAAAATATACGCCGTTCAATAGCTGAGCTTAATCTTACAGAGAATGATCAAAGCTCATGTAGAAAGAAAGAAACAAATGAACAAAAGATTTTCTCCTTTATTTCTGTCAAACAAAACTGTATGACACGTTTCCAGCTGTTAGTATCATGGTTGCTAGGCAACCTGGGCAGCGCAACAGAGGCTAGACCGTCCCATTTCACAAGCCTCGCACTTCCGGCCTTAGCGGTCTTTGAGTATGCGGCCCTTGAGGATCGTTGAGGCTGCGTACTTTAAGGCTGCAGACCCTGAATTGGGATACAGCCCATGTTCCCACTATGCTATCTAGCTGCCACAAACACATAATTCATAAAACTTTAGTTACATTTCTGCCACTCTCTTTTCAACCTTTGATTATATATAGCATAACATACCTGATAAAATTCCAATTCATACTTTCTATATTCATTAGAATTAGCAGCTACCTTCCTTTGGGCCATTCTTGCCAGAACTCAGGGAACAAAATGAATTTTTGGTTTGAGACTGATCTTATAACTGAATAACTGACCTATTAGCATATAAAAACACTGGAGCCAACCAACTGAAGCATAATTTTCAATTTTAGTAAGCAACATATTATGTGCCTTGATCTATGCTGCGCAATATTCAACGAGCAAAAAATAGTCTCACCTTTTCTTTGAGCTGTTACGAACAAAATAAAAAGTGCTGTACTTCTGGCCTTACATGAGACAGCAGCAAAAATAATTCTTGGTCAATGTTCAGTCAGTCATGCCATTTCAATTTGTAAAGCACATAGGTATTAAGGTGTTCAGTGTTGTTTTGGAGTAAACATACAGTGACAATATTACATTGCTTCTTGATGTGGTTAATTATTTCCAAGTTTCCAATCTCATCTATTCTGTGAAAATGTGAAAAATGGCTGAGTAACCTATTAGAAACTGACAAAACATCAGAATGCACAAACAGACCTAAACAGATCCAGATTCTGTTGTAAGACTCATATATACACAACATGCAACACTTTTGAATATCCCCCCAAAAAGTCATATTTATTTATCAACATTTATTTGCTATAAGATAAATCAGATATAATGAAATTGTTCAAACCAAATACTGGAAAAAATACTGAAGCTAATGTAAGGTTTTATAAGTCATGTCAAGAAGCATCCAGAGGGAAGTAACTAGGTGTGTGTTTTTGAACTGGGGGAAGAGCAATTTAAGTCTTGTGACATGCCTACAGTAAGGAGGACAGGAATACATTACAAGTAAAGTACTTTTGTCTGACAATAAACAGCATAACAACTACAAGTTTAATGATAGGAGTGAATTCATCCACAAATAAACGGTTACAGGAAACCCATTTTCTTCCAATATGAGTGTCAGTTTGGAACCACCAGCATTAGCAGGAAGACAAACCTGCCTTCAATATTTTACAATCTGCAGTGACTATTTCTGGAATTGTTAATGTACTGTTTCTTACACTTTTGAGGATTTCTTACATCAGGTTAGATTATCAAAGTTATATCACCTAATTCAAATAAATTAAATGTTTAAAAAAAGAAAGAAAATAAGAAAGAAATGTGTTGATGCCGTTGCCTCACATATCTGACACTCCCACCACAGTGCAGTGTTTTTCCACTTTCGTCATCTGAACGTATGTTGATAATCACTATTCCACAGGTCGGATTCCTTTGGCCTCTTCCATTTTTCTCAGGGTCTCATCCCACTGGGTGAACTGCTTGGACAACAGGAACATCTGGCAATCAAGAGGTCAGCTGTCAGTGGGTCGAGCTTTATCTCAGCAACAACTTGTGTATTATGAATTTTTCCATGACTGACCAAAGTAGCTATAGATAAAAAACTTTGGTAGTTTGCTAATTAAGTTTAAGATGTTTTTGATTGATTATTACATTTTGTTTACCCAAAGAATATATGTATAGCTTTGTTCTCATAATCACTGGAATTTAAAAATTGAAGTGTACCATTTTGTTGTATTCTTCAAAAAGCTTCTTAACTTCCTGTGACTGAACCTCACTTTGGTCCTGTAAAACAAACAGAATAATATTTACACATAAAACCTAGTGAGAGACAAACCCACAGGAGTAGATGGGGAAGAAAGAGAAAGAAAGAAAGGGCTACCTGCTGTTTGATGTGAATCTGTGACAAGCGCTGCAGCTTGGTGGCATGTTCTGGTACATCTGTGAACAAAAAAACAAGACCTGATGAGGTAAAACATCGAGTACTACAATAGGCACATCTATCACCCATTTAAAACAGGCTGAAACCCCTGGCTAAACGTAGGTAACAAAACTAAGCATAAGATCCCTCCAAAATGATGCCAGGAATATAAAAGAACAAAACAGACATTGTTTTGTTGGGTATTAATGTGTCCTACAAAGTGAAACTCACCTCTGATGTAGGTGCTGTCCAGCAGTGGCTGCAGGTTGCTGACCTGTTCCAGTAAAGCAGCATGCGAAAGCAAGAAGTCCTCCTCTGCAAAGAGACAGAGCAAGAAATGGATTCAGCTTCTACTTGTTTACAATATATATAAAAAATTTAATACCAATACAATTTGCACATATAGCAATCGACATTAAAGTTAATGCCTGTGTATGCCTCAGTAATATTAGTTTTCATTTGAACTTTTAAGAGTTCTTACCTGCAAGGATAAACTCCAGCTTCATGGCATCAGGCACAGTGATGTGGTCTGTGAACTCAGGGTCCAAGTACTTTAAGAGGTCCTCAACTGCACCACAACACCAATAAGCATGATTTAAAGTTCAATAGACTCAGTCTAAAATCTAAATAAAGAAAAAAATTCTGCAAGAACATTTGGTGTCTTGAAAGTTAAAGGTTGTCACAGAAATTTAGAGCCCTTTCAAGTTTTTAATTTTCAGTAGCCACATTACTAAACACATCAGTTTATAAAGGTATTATAATATGAATAACCACATCAGTATAAAGTAGTTGCTAATTTAGAGTAATGTTAAAAATATATATTCACAAAAATACAACAAGGCAATAATCTAAAGTGTAGGGGCTGAGAGATTGGCAGAATGTGTGACTCACTCTTCTTGTGCAGAATCTTTACTCGTTCTCTCTTATTGGCTGTGTTGGTCAGACCGGCCTGAATCCTGGCCAATGACTCTGCACACTGCAGGGGAAAAAGTTAGTGGTTATCATCCTGATAGCAAGGGTTTTTGTTGTTGTTGTTGCTTTTTGGTGGTGTGGTATAGGGGAGTATGCTAGCACATAAAATACATGCAAGAGTTTATATGACATTGGGAGATACAGAAGGTACCAATAAAAAATAATAATGGCATTTTACAAAAAAAAATTCTTCTTATGCTTATGAGGACTGGAATCTTATTATCCTAAAAGAAATGTGAGAATTAGCGCGATGCAGGCTAAATATATGCTGTCTGTATTAGGGCTGTCACAAACGATTATTTTGATAGTCGACTAGTCACAGATTATTTTTGCGATTAGTTGACTAATCAGATCAGGCGTCCATTGGATGTACAACATACAGCTTATTGCACCAGCATGCATCTGCTCCTATATAACCATCATTAGCTTACAGCTTTAAGTGTATGTGCTAACTAAAAAATAAAGACAAGATGATAGTTTATTCAATTTTAATGAAATTTGCAGATTGTTTCGGTGAAGTTTAATAAACTCAACCGTCTGCTCCTTGCTATCTAAAATATAACAGGACACCGGAGTATATTCTCCAGCATCTCACACTTCTGATAATCAGTCGTCTGCTTGACGTTTATTCAGTTGTGTAAAAACTATAACTTTAATCTCAGCCAAACCGATTTACTCAGGAACAAATAAAATACTAAAAGAAGCCAAACAATAACATTTTTAAGTTATCTAAGTGACTTATATTACATGTTTAACCTGAGTAGCGAAAGACGGCGGTGGGTTTGAAAACGATTTGCCGGGAGTCCGGTGTTCTCACCGGCTCTAATGAGCCTTGCCCCCGGCTAGCTATCGAGCTAGTGGATAGCAGACGTCTCCAAAAATGTCAGGACGCTTTTGCAAATATGTGTTGTCTTGATAAACCGAGCACATATTTGAAGTTTACACAGCTACATTCTCACCTGAAAATATGTTAAACGTTTATTTTGTGACCCAGAAAGAATAATAAGAGTAATATTAAAACTAACTAGCTGCCGCCATTGTTGGAAACTGAGCAGGGCCGCGCTATGAATTCTGGGACACAGCTTCTTCTTTGGGGTTTAACGGCAGCTGGCATCCTTGTACATGCAGTGCTGCCATCTTCTGTTTCAGCCCGTTATTACACTCTCAAATCCTACTTATTCCTGTGTCTTTTGGGATCTTACAAAGCTTCACACGACGCGTGGACTATTAAATTAGTCGTTGATGATTTTGATAGTCGACTAATCGTGGCAGCCCTAGTCTGTATATTACTACATTTAAGGTCTTATTTGGCTTTTTGCAGTACATATTGGATAATGGTTTCCACAGATGACCATTGGAAAGAAGTATTACATCTCATGTCACAGGCTGTGCAGCATCGGGACCAGAAAAAGCAGGCATTCTCTTCTTCACCTCTCTTGTGCAATGTCTGTTACTTTGGATGGCTAAACCATGGGTAAATTCGTCCATCTTCACTACCCCTGCTTTTCCCTATGACACCTGTCTCCTTATTCACATACATGCATTCTGTCATGCTTCCTATGACTTTCATTCTCCTTCTCTCCAGTAGAGATACATGATACCTTTTGTTTTTATAAATTTAGAAAGCATTTTAAATCGTATTACTGTTTTAGTCGTTTAGCTCACAGGAACCTCATTCCTTAGTTTTGTTCCCTCTTATGCTACCTCATGTGTTGAGATGGCAATAATACTCTTAAATCTTTGAATTTAAAGTAAATTAAGCCTAACAGCACACTGTAGCACTATCTCCACCTTTGGAATGACAAAATCTAGTGGAAAACAAACCAACTTAAATGCCTCTTTGTAAGCCAGAGTGTTTTTTCCAGATCACATGATACCCTGCTGAGTCCCCTCGCCTCAAAAAGCATCTCATCACTAGCTAGCCGAGGTTTCTTCGTTTAACCGTGTCAGACTATTGTATTGTTGATTATGATTAAGTTGAACAGACACAAAAGCACAGCGCCACAAAAACCAGGTTACAACGCACAGCTTTTTTAATGTAAACAGATGAAAGCTAAATAACCAACAGTTATGAAAATAAAGGAATAGCTTCTTGATGGGCAGGAAAGTAAGTTTCTCATATTTGTGCGAAACTAAATTGAACAACTAAAACAACTTCTGCTAACATTCTAGTGTATAGTCAAAGGAGCTTTTTTTTTTTTGCAAGCTCCTTTGACTACGATGACCTGGATGACTGAGAACCTTCACAGACATTCTAGTGTATAAATTAAAAAAGGGCGTTTACTCACAACCAACGTTAGCTCCGCAAAGCTAACAACTAGTATATATACAGATATACATAATATAAGCGAACCTTTACAGGTTTTCCACTCTTGTTTTTTCTCTCGCCATATATACGACTCTCTAGCGCCCGGAGACGCATTTCCAGGTTATCCATCTCAGTTGTTTTATCCATTCCCGGAGCTGCCGATGAACACAACAGATCCTAAACAGGCGGAAGAGAGCTACGTAGTTGAGAAGGGCCGTCGCATACTGATGATGCGTCGCCCCCGGTTCTCTTTACCACTCGGCTATTTGGTGGGGGATGGATGCAAAACCTACAACGCTTTAAAATACTTTAAGCATTTAATATTTATTTTTAAAATTTTAGTGTCTTTTTCAACGTAAAATTGCAGATCATTTGGTATATTTCTGTAGTTGGTTTAGTAAGAATAGCGGTCGCCAGTGGTCGCTGTTTTGCGGGAAATTGGATATTTTTGCTGTTTTTCCGGTGTCAGCGGGGGAATGACAACATAGGCCCCTTTTCCATTCAATATATCTACAAAATATCGACTAAAAAGTAAGGCTCCCCCATCTCCTTCTCACAGTGTAAGAATGTCTGTCTGTGGGAAATATTATCAGTACCTTTGTAATTGGACTTTAAACATTTCTTTATTATGTTTCCATTGGGTAAGTTAGCCTACTTAGCCCTCGAGCTAACATCAGTTTTTGCTCTACAGCTGCGTAGTTCGACAATTTTGGAGTTCCTTTGGAGGTCTAAGAGATAGGTAGCGACCTATCACTGAACTGTAACCTAGAAATAACTTCACTGGCAATTTACTTAAGAGATATCTAAGTTACTCAAACCTGAAGTGCGCCAACGTGGTGCTAGCTTAACTTGCACTGGTTATTGAACTGAGGTTCAGCGTTTGGATGCTGAAAGTTTTGTCAGTGTTTGCTTGCTAATCATGCTCCGATCTTTTGCTGACAGTAGGCGATTTATCTCTTCTGAAGCAGGCATCTGTTTGAGGAATTCATTCTTTATGTGCCACTGGGAGCAGCAGCATGGCAGATGACAAGGACGTGTTGAGAGACGTTTGGTTCGGCCGGATACCCACCTGCTTCACTCTGAACCAGGATGAGGTTACTGAGAGGGAAGCCGAGGCTTATTATGTAAGTACAGTTGTTCTCATCTAACATGATGCAAAATCTAGGCCTGACTTAACTTTTGTTTTTGGAGATTAATGCTTTCTGACGAAGCATGCTTCAAGGAAGTCCTTCAGACAACACAGTCAGAAGGAAGCCTCTTATTTAACTTTTGTAAGCCTGCTTACAGAAGGGTACATGACCCATATTCATAAGCATTCCGAGGATCCACTCAGCAGCAAGGAGTTCTAGGATAAGAATGATGTAAAAGAGTTGTCAAAGCAAAATGAAGGAACTAACTACCTCAGTGTGGAGGTGTAGCTGACCAGGCTGTGGTCTCACCTGAACCGAAAACATTAGTGAAATAGTCAAACCTACATAGATTATAGGTGTAGTTCTAAGTATCATCTAACAAAGTGTTTTTCAAACATTTTGTTCTTGCTTGCGAAAATTACATTTCTTTATACTTCCAGGTAGCCAGACATTATTGCAGTTGCTTTTTTTGCTTTGGCTTTGAGTGGCGTTGAACACTGTGGCTCCTTTTGCTCTCATTTTCAGTACAGTCCCTGTAGCTGACCATTCTCAAAATAATATATATCTATATATATATATATATCTATATATATATATATTAAACCACTTTACACCGTCCAATGAATCATACAAACATAAAAGAAGCAAAAAACCTAACTCAAGGAATGAATCACTGTTGTATCTATGTATAATAAATTTAGGAAGGAACCTGTTTTAAATTATATAATGTGTTGTTGGGGGAAAACAAATCATTTGTTCACATCACTTTATTTGAATCTATAAAAACTGCCAAGAGTAACACAGTTTGACAGGCATAAAATAGTATTTTTGCACCAATAAAGTGATTCACGTATAACTATTAGGTGAAAACATGACTTACCTCAGCGTGGTGCACAGGAAAATGGTTAGGTAGGTGGAAGGCAGAATAGGAAATTGTAGGCCTAAAACACTATCTGAAGCAGATAAGAAGTATCTGAAATTCACACCCTTCAGAAATAGAAAAGAAAACAGCAAAGATCTGACACAGTAGAGGTGCAATCTTTCAGTTTGTCTATCTGCTGTTCACTGAAGCCTCATCAGAAATTAGTGGAAGGGTGGCTGTCAAGAAGCCATTCTTAAGGAAGGGAAACAGGGAGAAAAGGATGTGGATACACAAGAAATGGACTGAAAACACATATTATGGAGTGATAAATCCAAACTTGATGGTCAGGAAAGACGTAGAACAGTGTGTATCTGTAAAGTGCATTGGAGACTGTCACAGTTTCAGGCTACATTTCAGCCAGGTGTGTTGAGTATCTGGTCAAAATTGCTAGAATTATGATTGCAGAAAAATGCCATCAGATTTTGGTCCATTAGGAAAGCATCTGAGTGGCTATGATCCCACATAAAAAATGCAGTAGAAGGATACCCGAATAGACCAGATATACCAAATACAGATTTTTAGCTTGGTAGAAGTGTGGAAACTCAATGTATTTCCATGTATGTTTGCACTTTTTTCCAGTAACTTGTGGCTCCCATTTTCCATTAATCTAAAGAAAATACAAAGAAATGAGGGGTGGCTCATGACTTTTGTATATGTCTGCTGTATCAGTGTTTGTTACAGACTCAGTGGTTTACAAATAAATGAACAAGAAGAGAAAAATCATATAGAATAAAAAACAAATACAAGTACATATAGATATGTCTGTGAAGGTTCTCAGTCATCCAGGTCATCGTAGTCTAAGGAGCTTGGAAAGAAAAGTGTCTGGACTTCGAGTTGCTTGAAGACGTTTCACCTCTCATCCGAGAAGCTTCTTCAGTTCTAAGGTCAAATGGTGGAGAGCCCCAGATTTAAACGCAGTGGGAGTTTCCCCCCACAGAGGGACAAATGACCCCCTGATGATCCTCTACCTAATCACATGAGCCAAGGTGTGAAAGCAGGTGTGGGTCACAATCAGCCAGGGTTTCGCGTGAGCTCATTGTGAAACCTGGTCCCACCCTATCATGTGATTTCCTGAGGTCAGATGGCCCAGGATGTGAGTGGGCGTTAAGGCGTCTGGGAAGGGATCTCAAAACTGGATTATAGATGGCAGACAGTTGGGGTCGCTCACAGTGGACGTAAATGGCTTCTTTCACTCCTCTTTCAAACCATCTGTCCTCTCTGTCCAAAATGTGAATGTTGGCATCCTCGAAAGAGTGACCTTTGTCCTCTAGATGCAGATGAACCGCTGAGTCTTGTCCCGTGGAGGTGGCTCTTCTATGTTGTGCCATGCACTTGTGAAGTGGCTTTTTGGTCTCTCCGATGTAGAGGTCTGGGTAGGGCTGGGCGATATGACCCAAAATTCATATCTCGATATTTTTTTAGCTGGATGGCGATATAAGATATATATCTCGATATATTTTTTTAAAGCCATAAAATAAGAACAAAAAGAGAGTTCTTAGTCAAAGCTGTGTCCCAGATGTCACACAGGCACTTTTATTAACATAGAGCAGATGTACATAAAATTTACTCAAAAATAAATTATGAGCATTTATTAAATAATAATGCTCCATAAATAAAAGAAAACAATGTTGTTTTTGTGCATAACAAAAAGCTCACAATTGTGCAGTCAAAATGTAAACTAAAAGACGCTGAGCACAATAACAAAGACAGATTTCACAGCTGCTCTGTTCCCAACTTCTACTGCGTGACTGACAGCCTGGAGTTTGAAATCCACTTCGCAACCACGTCTCTTAACAGGTGCCATTTATGGTCCTTATACACAGTAGGGTAATATTACGTTGAAGCACAGTACGTATCACTCCGCTAGGCTCAGCCGTAATGCTCCGACAATCCATCAAGCGGTGCAGCTCCGTAGCTTACCAAAGTCGTACTAAAACATTTTTGACAGATTGCTGAGCGCCGTGTTCCACATAAAATCGGTTCGCGGCCATCAAGCACAACCAGAATTCATACATAAGGCACGCTGCCAACTTTTGAGAAAATGAAAGGATTTTAGTCCGTGCAGCACCTCTGGGCTGCATGGCGTTAGCGTGGTTAGCTAGCTAACACGTTGACGCCGTCCAGCCCCACGCACGGGGCGATGCGCAGTAACTCGTTAACGGAGATTTGCCGTGTCCATCTTGTCGCTTCCTGTAGGTGAAGCGATGGGGGAGGAGGGGGAGTTGTGTTCAGTGAAGGAGAGGCGAGGCCGAGTAACGTTGCGTAAAGACGAAAGTGGACGAAAGAGAGGCAAACTTGCGGCTCCACAAGTATAATTATAACGTAACATAGACTATATCGATATAAATGATATGGTCACATCTTATATCTCGTATAAAAATATATCGATATTTTTTAAAAACTCGATATATCGCCCAGCTCTAGGTCTGGGCATTCCTCGCTGCACTGTACAGCATACACTGCATTGTTAAGTTTGTGTTTAGGAGTTTTGTCTTTCGGGTGAACCAGTTTCACACCTGGACTTCCCTTAAGGAACACAATTGCACTTGCACTGCACACCAATTGGGAATCACTGACCTAATGTAATGGACATTTCAGTTGAATACACTAGCTTTTAGACAATATTTACACAATACTTGGAATTACAAACCAGTCTGTGCCGAAGTACAATGACATGCCTATAATTTTTGCTTGTGTTTATACACCGTTCTGGGATATTTTGTAAGTTACTCTGTTTATCTGTTTATCCTAAGGGAAATAAATGATGAGCTTTTAAAACTTACACCAGCAACACCGTGGCAATTTAAATTAAGTGTGTAATAGTTTGAGACTGTGAAAATGCTGTAAACGATAATGAGATCACTGTGGTTTAACAAATCAAAGTAATTACTGCTACACTGTAACTCCATTTTATGGTTTCTGACACTTCTGATACAACTATTTCTACCTTGTCTCAATCAGCTGCTGTACAGACTGTAAGAGAAAAAAAGATACAATTGCTCTGCTGTTTAAAGGCATCCAGCAAGTGGAGTGTTTTCTTGTATGAAACTAAGTACATTGATTGATTTGAGTTAATCAGCACACCATGAATATCAATATGGCAGCTTCAGTTTGTGTTTACTGATCTCTTATGCTAGTCTTTAGTGATAATTGGATCTTCTCAAAAAAAAAGCAAACCAAA